ACGTATCCAGCCCTTTTTGAATTTCAAATTAACATCATAATTGCTAGCTAGATAATTACCCTTCAGAAATAGCTGTTTGATTTAAAGGCAATTAACAGCCATATATGCTTGAAATCCACGGGTTGGATGCATACGGGAGGAAACCGGCAAGTAAGGGCTGCAGGAAAATTTCGGTGATCAATGGTACAAAGATTTCACGCATGGACACTGGGGCTGCTGGCGAGAGTTGCTAGGAAAACGGTGGAGTGAGAGGGGATGTGGTTGCCACTGGGATCTGGATGGAGGAGGCTATGGGCCCCCCCCTCCCCCCGGGGGGGGAAAAACAAAAGAACAGCAGCAAGGCACGGCTGGGGCCTGTGAAGGCCAGCGGCCTGATGGGGTCCACAGGGGAATACGGGCGGCAGCTGGGTGAGGGGAAGAAGAAACCAATGAAAACTTTTGTGAATTACGTCTGCATTGGATTCCGCTTGCTTCACTTTTCTTTCAAACGCTTGATCTCCACCGCGCAATAAATCTAAGGGACGAAATCTAGAACTCACCGGAGAGAATTAGTATTTCCGCCGTTGAACTCAACTAAGACAGATCTACGGGAATGCACTCACAAAGAGAACAAAGGGGAATAAAATTTTATTTCATCAAAACTCTATTACAAGAGAAGGAACCAATAACATAGGCTTCACAATGACAAATAAAGCAAAAGATAAAATCGCCCCATCTTGGCGCTACAATAGCGACCAAATACCCATAAGGGCAAAAACGGAAAAACATACAATAAAAATAAACTATTACATAAATACATGAAAATACACTCATGCTCGTTAACCATCGATCTCAAGCGGCGTCCGAAAATGCTCGCACGATGTCTCAACTCATTCTCCCAGGTGGAGAAAACTCGACCCAGTCGACGTAAGATTCTATGGAAGCCCTGTACACTCTGTGATCTGGTCGTTAGGTCTGCTAAGCTCGCCCTGTCATCCAAGTATCCTACTAGGTCTCCGCTGTGTCCAAGGATTCGGTATCTTTGGGCACCCAACTTTCCTTGGGAATGACTCATCATTAGTATTGCTTGACCTTCTCCGCTATAGGTGTGCGTAGCGGTAAGTTGGGGTTGGAGATAGCTGGGGATTGCACAGGTGGGTCACACAGTATTAAAGTGGATTTGGGTTAAGATTCGCGTCCTTCAACAGGTAACAAGTCTTCTATAAATAAATAATAGGATTCATGTTAGAGCCTCAAGAGAGGTCGCAGTACGTAAGGCATTCATTGAACCTCTTGAGATTTCCTTAAAATGTTCGGTATTGTGAGCATGCGCTTTCCCCTTACATCACCACAAAGTCTCCAACTTTGAAATTCTTGGGACCATCTTTTAGTTACATATCACAATATTTTAAGATGGATGTTTTGTTGTTCAATTAGTTCCCTTTTAATTTCAATGAGTAAACTCATGAAGGCTAAAAATGCAAGAATGGCAAATGCAAGAGATCGGGTGTGCCATGATGAATGACAATGACTCATACGAGCTTACATAAACTCTAAAACATCAACAACTTAGAAGGACAACATGACTAGCAAACACACACACACACACATACTTAAACTTCAGCTACAAACACACGTTGCTAGATACTGGTGGACAGTAACAAACAGCAGCACCCCTGGTCTAAACCAGTGTTTCGGTCTAATGGAATGGTGTAGGGGGAGCAATGCAGACACCTTAGCCCAACGGGCTTCTTTCCATAGGGTGTTCTCAAGCTCGGGTCCAGACAGTCTCCTAGACAGTGAGGGTAAGTCTAATCATAGTCATCCAACTGGAGAGGGAATATCCTTTACTAGGCGAAGGCCAAGGATATCGAGGGCGTAATGTAGGAATCAGGATAATGGATTAATGCGATCGGTGATGAACTTACCTACTATACGTAGGATACGCCAAAGAGTAACTAGCCGGGTATGGGGCTCACCGAAGTGGGGTAAAGGGTCTCCCTACAGAACTTGGGCCAAACAGCTAGAAAATTGACCTGAAAGTATGCTCGACTCTCTCTAACACTAGTCGGTGAAATAAAGTCCGTCCACAAAAGGTATAACTTCCCTCTGTCAATGCAATCTAAAGGAACAACTCCTAGAATAGACTCCAGTAGACAAGAGATGTTCAAGGTCACTTGGCTCATAATCTTTCAGATTCAAAATTACTATCTTCCAAACTCAATTTACTCATACCTCAAAAGGACCAGGTTTGAGTTATCAACCCTACACGATCACATGAAATCGGGGTCAACTTAAGTCAAGCGTGTAAGTCAGGTCGTAACTTCATTTCCTCATTCTCTAATATTGAATTAATCCACATTGACATCAGAACTTATTCAAAATTAAAATCCAAATTATTGAAAGTCGTCTCAAGTAATTAGATCAAAAATCTTTCCGAAGTTAATTTCACATGTCTTCCTGATTAGGTCAGCTATCTTTCGAGATCATGTTTACTATCGTCCAGGCAAACCTTATCCAACAGAAATATCTCGTAAGACTAGGATCAGGGTGGGCTAAGGAGTCAAGCGCTTAAAGGTTCCAAACTTCCTCTAGTTTCAGTGTTCAAGTCATACCGGGGGGTACTGACTCAATCACTTCAGTCTCATCCTCAGACAAGTCGCGTTATCCAATCAGTATCCAGAAATGGGGTGTCCCTCAGTCTCGGTTTCAGTGGATTTCTTCTTTCTCCACCTGCAACTCTTTAGCTAAGATAACTTGTAGGGTTAAAGACTTGGGGTAGTTCTACAGGATGACTCGGGCTGACAGACGGGATCCCACGTGGAGGTCATAAGAGGATTTGTCCAACAGAAGACCTGCTAAGTGTTATCAGAGCTAGAGAAGACTAGACGGAGTGGGGCAAGCAACCCTGTTATTACTAACAGATGGCGTGGTATCCGACTACCAGTAATGTCCATGGTTTCGTTTCCAATAGCAATAGGTAGGCGTGGGGCTCTAAGATGGCGGTCACTGGTAAGCGGGTCAGGTATCTTAAATTCAAATTTCGCCTCATGTCTTTCCAGTAAGGTGTAACTCAACCCGCGCGAGACTCCTTTGTGGATCTTCCTAATTTTGCCAAAATTTAAGAGCCTACGTCCTTTGAGGTGTAGATTTTAGCATGCTAATCTGGTGGGCTTCGCAGCGGCTATGACATGACTTTCAAATAGTAATCGAAGTTGTCTAGCCCAATACCTAAAGTAGTAAGGGCTGCCGGAAGAAACCAATCAATGAGGTGGGTAAAACGCGTAAGCAAGTGGCTCTACGGTGACGGTCGTTGAGGAATTAGACTCAGTTAGGTTGATAAGCAGAGTGGGGTATCTTCCGACTAGCATGATTGCCCGACTGGGGCACGTACCTAGAGTGGGGAGAGCCAACAAGTTCCTCTCTTTGTGGTTTTAGTTAGCGAGCCTACAAAACTAACTAGGTCGTCTACCTCTTTGAAAACCTACTCGCGTCCATTGGAAAGGCTAGTGATACTAGGTAAGGTGCAAGGAATGAAAGGGGCAGCAACCTAGTCATATCTAACTCTAAGCACTCCTTCCGG